GGCTGGTTTGTCTCTTTACGTCTGTCCCCCTGATCTGAGTGGAGCTCCTGTTCTGAAGCTGGGCCAGTGGACCCCCACCCGTTAATGTCACATCCAAGTCCAATATCCAAATAGCCAATATTGCCCTAGCCGGTTTGGCTCAGTGGATAGAGCGTTGGCCTGGGGACTGAAGGGTCCTGGGTTTGATTCCAGTCAAGGGCATGTACCTTGGTTGCAGGCACATCCCCAGTAGGAGGTGTGCAGGAGGCAGATGATCGATGCTTCTCTCTCATCAATGCTTCTCTCTCATCGATGTTTCTAACTCTCTATCCCTCTCCCTTCCTCTCTGTAAAAAATCAATAAAATATATTAAAACAAAACAAAACAAAACAAAAATCCCTACAAATAGCCAATATCCAAAGAGGACGACACAAATATCTTGAATCTACCCAGCCACTTCTTCCAAAGGAACAGCTGTCTTATTCATTCACTCATTCACTCATTTTGTCTTTGCTTCGTGCCAGGCACTGACCTGCGGACAGAGTTTTAAAAAATGGTCTCTTATAATGAGACAGGCGTGCATCTCCTAAGCTCTAAGGGACCCCAGGAGACCTGCCAGCAGGGCAGAGATGGGCAGTGGTGGTTTGTCCCAGAAAATCCCCCAGAACCTGTCCCCAAGACCCCGCTTTCTTTGACGTCTTAGTGAACAAAGCAGCCCAGCCCAGGCTCACTCCCCAGCCCATCCTGTTTCACTTCCCAGCTTCAATCAACGGCCTCTAACGCTCACCGGGATGCGTATTCTGAAACGTTTCCTTCCGGCATGAAGTCAAGAACCCAGACGCTACTGCTGGCCCTGGGTGGCCTGCTCAGGGCCAGGTCCCCGTTCCAATAACGACATTAAGATGCTCAGACAATAGTGGAAGAAATAAAAGATAGTTGTGCTGGGGCATAGTGAGGGAATGCAAACTAGACCTAGCAGGTGTGTGTGTGTGTGTGTGTGCGCGCGCGCGCGCGCATGCTTGTGCGAGCTGTGCCTGGTATCCGGGAAGGCTTCTGAGACAGTGTCACCTGAGCGAGTGGTTAAGAATGTGTGATGCAGCCCAGGGGCCCCAGCCTGCCTTCCAGGAGCCCAGGAGAGAGGATCCCCAATACTGCCTAAACAATCCTCTTTCCACCTGAGCAGAGCCAGCTCCCAGCCCTCACTATTCTCGAGCCCCCATCTCTCTGGGAGGCAGTCACATTGCCTGGGCCCTCACTGTGCATCCTGCCGGGCACTCTGGCCACTCCTCAGTGAGAATGGGCACACTGCAGGCTCCCACCTCCGAGGCAGAGACGCAGTGAAAGGCGGCAGGTCCCTCAGCCACCAGCCTCTTTCCCTCTTCTATTTGCTTGTTGATTGAGGTTCCTTTGAGTCTGTTGAGAGGGGATCCGCCTGTTTCAGGCTATTGTACGCCATAAGCGTCAGTAAGCAGCGGACCTTCCCCACATGCCACGTGTGCCTATTTATTTTTTAAAAAAAAAATGTTTTTCCTAAGTGGCAGCCCTGACCAACTTTAATCTCCTTGTTTGTGAGAATTTTCAGCTGAAAATATCCAAGAACACCCGAATTGTGAATAATATATTTTTATAATATTCATTACAAATTGATTTTTTTTAATTCAGTTCAAAATGTGGCGTGTGGGGATGGTTTCTGTGTTGGACGTGTGGCAGGTAACTGGCGAAGTGGTTTTGATTACTCCGCGATGGTAAATGTGTACTGTGCCAAGGCCCCGTGCAGGGCACTCGCTGGTGCTCTCTCATCTGAGGGCAGGGGTGCGGGGGGAGAGCGGCTGTGCTTATTTCTCTCCTCCGGCCCCCTTCACAGCGCCTTCTCCGTGGTGCCTGAGCAAATGGGCAGCCTTATGGAATCCCATGTCTCCACGCCGGACACATCCAGTCACTCTGCTTAACACAAACTGTGCCAATGTTCTTGGATGAGACCAAGTTCAAGAGGGGGCTGGCCGAAACCAGTTTGGCTCAGTGGATAGAGTGTCGGCCTGTGGACTGAAATGTACCTTGGTTGCGGGCACATCCCTAGTGGGGAGTGTGCAGGAGGCAGCTGATCGATGTTTTTCCCTCATTGATGTTTCTAACTCTCTATCCCTCTCTCTTCCTCTCTGTAAAAAAATCAATGAAATGTATTTAAAAAAAAAGGGGGGGGGATTGGGACCACAGAATTCCCATGAAAAACCCTTGAATCTGTTCCTGTTATTAACCCCGACACCCCTCTCCTGCCCACTAAGGAAAACGCACACCTACATGGCCAGGGTCCATTTTGAACAACTTTTATTATATGTTTAGTGTCCTCTATACAAAAGAAATCAGTTTTTTTTACAGTGATTCAACAAAAATTCCGATAATTTTGGCCTTTCCGTTGCTCATGCAGTCAGTTTATAAGTCCGTGTATTAGAGGGTCCTCCGTGGCCCAGACGCCTTCCCCGCCGAAGGTCGTGCGTGTCACCCTCAGTCGCATCCGTCGCTGACCGGGTTGGTTAATGCAAAGTAACTCACAGAAAAGGAACGAACACAGTGTGAGAGGGGTTAACACAAGTCCTGCCACGGCAAGTTACATCTCTAACCCACGGGGGGAAAAGGCCAGACAATCGGTGGGCGTGTGCACGTGAGAAGGGATGGAGGCATGGGGGAAACATTTTCCCGCCGAAAGGAACAAACTGGGATGGATGGTCCCGCGCGGGTCGGAGGTGGGACCAGGACAGGAGGCGCCACGTCCCTGGCGACGGATGCTCAGCTCAGAGGGGTGTGAGGTTGGCAGAGAGCTGGGAGCCGGGTGGAGGGACAACACTGACTGGAGAGGTTGCATTTGAGGATCAGAAAAAAAGAGCGGAGCGGGGTCGTCAGATCTGCATCATTTTGGGGGGAGAAAAAGGGAGTGCACAAAATCCTGGGTGTCTTTTCCCAGGTTTTTGTGTTTATTGCTTCGCTGAAGTCTTCACCTGTGCTGCTGCCCAGCCAACCCCAGGGTGGCAGAGCTTCCCAGGGCCCTGCTGCCCCACCTCGAGGCCAAGGGTGGGGTGGACAGAGCCCTTGACACCCTGGCTTCCGAGGGACACGGTGCGCTGGGGGTCCATGTGCTACGCGCAAGAGGCAAGTCTGAGCTTCACAGTGACAAATGCCAGTCACCTCGTCACCCCTCTCCTGGCCTGGGTCTGCCCTCACCACCACAGGCTGGCACACACTGGCTGGCCTTGGACTCAGAAAAACCCTTTGTGTCTTTCACGGTGGGGGGTGTGGGAGAACAGGAAAGGGGTATAGAGGGTGACCAGCAGGGCGGAGCTAAGGAGCACCCCTGTTTCCGAGGAGGCAGCTGGGGGGAGAGGCAAGAACACTGGACAGGGAGTTTGAGGGCCCGAGCTCAAGCCCTCATCTCCCTTGATCCCTGGCTGTGTGGTCCTGGGCAAACCCTTCCACCTCCCCAGATGTTAGTGTCCTTGTCTGTGCGATGGATCATTTCAGTGAGATCAGCTCTGATGCCTCCACAGGCGGAGGTCTGAGCCCCATCCCGCGCTGGAGGCTGCTGCCCCTATTTCACATCCCTTACTTGGAAACGCCATTTAATACTAATGCACTGGCAGAGGGCCACTGGTTTGGGGTGTGTCTGGTGGGGCTGTGGCTTCCCTGGAAGGTCTCCGTAAAACCCGCCTCTGAGCCTGTCTCAGAGAAGCCTGCTTATGGGGTGAGAGTAGGGAGGTGCTGCTCAGGCTATGGGCTGCCTAGAATCCCGAGTCTCCTGTCATTTCAAACTGTCTCACTTGTTTGACTTTTGATTTAAAAAAAAAACAAAACACACACACACACACACACCCACGAAACGCAGACACCTCCTACATGCTACTCCTAAGTCACCGGTGAAGCTCAGCCGTGCTCTGTGGGGCGTTTTCTTTCTAGGGGACCCGTGTTTCGTGATCACGGTGTCACAACTGGGGAGCGCTCTGTGCCTACACTGCGGGCACTTGCCACCCTCGCCCTGAGGAGTGGTTCCCTGGCACCAGCCCCTGCTGCCCGAGAGCCTGAAACCTCCCCTCTTCAGTGAGAGGGAAGCAGCCTGGCAGAGACAGGCCCCGGCAGGGCACGTCCCCCTCCGTCAGTCACCGCTGTTTGCACCGCTCTGCGACTCCGCTCTGACCTTGCGAAGGGCTCCCGGCGCCTTAAAGGGCCACTGCCTGCGCTGTGCCCGGGGCGGGCTCCCTCTCCTTTGCATCAGACTTGTTCTCGCTTGGTTTTGCCTCTGAAGTGGCCCAGAGGGGGCCCGGGCAGAGCAGCCTTTCTTCTGCCCCAGATCGCACCCTGCACTCCACACAGCCCTTCACATCTCCTCTCCTGCGGGCCTGGGTGTGGACTCAGCCTCTCCGAGACCATGTCATTCACAATCTGCATCTTTCTTCCCCAGGAACCGCCCGCCATGTGGCCTCTGTCTGCCGTGTGTGTCCACGTGAGGGTGCTGGGTGGGGATGGGGAGCAGTCCCTTAGCTGGGAAACCCACAGAGACTCCTCGGTCTGTTTCCACTCCTTTGCAAAGGCCAGCCGCTCAGGGAAATGATGGAACTATTTGCCAGTAGTGGGCACTCTGCTCGCAGGGCGGGCAGTATTGGCTCTGGACCTTGGGACGTGGGGAAGGGAATGGACCCGATACCTCCAACCTCACAGGCAAAGGCAGTGGACAAGAGAAGGGGCCAGTCTGGTCTCCCCTTGGGCTTACACCCAGCCCTCTCCTCAAAAGCCAGGCAAGAGAGAACCGGTCCCATCCTCCGGAAGCCAGGCAAGGCGGGGGCAGCTTTCCCCTGGCCCTACAGCAGATGCTCCTCCGACACTGGCCTCCTTGCTCCCCAGATGGGCCCCTGCCCCCCTTAGGGAGAGGTATTCAACAGGGGACTGATTAGGGGAGACTGAGGCACCAAAATACACTTGCCCGAGGGGCAGAGGCTCAGGAGGCGGGCTGCCCCTCAGCTCCCCCGGGGGTTAAGATGCCCTGTCTTGCCCAGACTTGCAGACCAAGGCCTCTCTCTAAAGCTTCTCCCTTCGAGCCTGGGCCACTGGCAGCTCACACGCTCAGAGGGCTCCCAATCAAAGCCATTCTGTCCCAAGCTAGGCCAGGTGGGGGTGGGGGCAGCCATCCTGATGCTCACCGGACACTGGCCGGCAGCCCCGAGAAGGCAGGAGCCATACCCGACTTCACCGTGGTATTCACAGCTCAGAGCCCGGCTCACCGTCGATGTTCAAGAGGAGATGCCAGAGTGGCTCAGTTGGTTGAGCGTTGGCCCATGCACCGAGGGTTGCCAGTTCGATTCCCGGTCAGGGCACATGCCCAGGTTGTAGGCTAGATCCCCAGCGGGGGATGTGCAGGAGGCAGCTGATTGATGGATCTCTCTCTCTCTAAATCAATAAAAACATAAAAGAGTAGATGCTGAGCGATCATCGCAGAACAGGCAATGAACTTGTAGTCACGGTGAGATGACCTACACTTCTCCCCACTCCGGGCCCCCCAGCCAGACAGGCCGAAGCACCAATGGTATCGCCCTCTCCCGGCATGGTTGTTGGGTGTTTTGGGGTGACTGTTTGAGAGCCCTGGCTGGCAGGGAGTGGGGACAATACTTTTCTCCTGCTGAGCTGGGTGGATTCTGGCACCGTGCCATGAAAAATGGACTTCCTTCTCCCTGGAAGGGCTGCCTCCCTGACCTTGACCCTGACTCTGACCCACGTATCTCTCTGAGCACCTGCCACCTGTGCTTGGGGGAAACAGTTCTTCAGGTCCAGGTCTGCTCTTGCCTGCCATGGTGGCTTGGTAGTGTGGGCGAGGGGTAGTATAGAGCCAAGCAGGGCATAAATGAGGAGTGAGGACGGGCTGAGGAACCCCTGCTCCCCAAGACCCAGGGTAGCGGGGGGCCCTTCCCTGGCCACCAGCTGTGCAGAAGACTGTGGAGAAGCAGGGGGATGGGCCCGGTGACGTCTCACAGTCCTGCTTCCCCTAAGAGACTGTTTCCGGAGCAGTAAGTTCATTGGTGAGTGTGGTGCAGTATGGACGCAGGGCCTGAGACACGATCTCGCTCAGACGCAGTGTTTTCTGAAAAGGCCGGTCCTTTCATGCAGGCCACAGGCTCTCTTCCCTGGCACCCCTTCCCTGGGGTCCAGGCTGCAGGAATACCCGGCTGTGTCCGGGCAGATGTCAGAGGGAGGCCAGGGGAGGGGACCCCTGAGCTCACCCCCCAACCCCCTGCTAGCCACCCTGTCCCTGTCCCCAGGAGAGCGCTGCCCCTTGGGCTTCTCGGTAGCAAACCTGCCCGTGATTCCCAGGTTCAAACAAACAACTGGCTCAGCTCTGGGCTACGGTTTCTTACCTACAGACAGAGTATGTGTGTCTGTGGGCTCGACCTTCACCGACTGGTCCCTACGTGATGCGGGCATAGCTAAAACCTTTGTGGCGCATACACGTGGCAAAGGCTGCTCCCAAGGAAGTCTCTGGGGGACTCAGCCCCGTTCCTGCCCGGGCCCCAGCTCAGCAGCTGGAGGCTCAACTCAGAGGCTGTGTCTGTGGCGGGCAGCCCATCTCAGGATCAGCGTGTCCCCCTCCTGAACCCGAAGCGAGCTGCAGCGGCAGCGAAAGATTCCTCTCAGGCTCAAGCTCTCTCCGCGGAGACTAGGTACCTTTGGTTTGGAGAGCGGCTTAGCGGGGTGGACGAAGGCAGGGCCTCAGACTCACAGCCCGGCAGGCATGTCTGCGAATGTCTCCTCTGGGCCACGGGCCGCAGGGCGTGTGTGAAGCGGTTGCTTCCGGTTCTGCTGTGATGCTTGCATAGGCCGCCCGTTCTCCTGGAGACAGACCTGGCTGGAGGCTGGAGGCTGGAGGCTTGCAGGGAGGACAGGCGCCCGGGACCGCAGGGACACGGGAGAGTTGCGTAAGGCATACGAAGGGAGGTGCACCAAGTCCTCCAGCCAGGCTTCACAGCACGGCTCGGGTGCTGTCCCGCGGGGGGCCGACAGTGGAACCCCCTACGGGAAGGACGCCCCACCTGCACAGTTGCAATGTTATAGAGAACGGTCCGAGGAGATGACAGCTGCAGAGGTGAAGGGGGAGCAGTGCTTTACACCCCCCGGCACACCAGCCAAGCCTCTGCACCCCAAGGCCCCATCTCCTGGAGGGCACGGCGCAGGCCTTGGCCAGGTCGGGGGGGCACCCTCTCCTCTGGGAGACAGTGGGTATGGCCCTCACGCCCAGGTCTGGGTGTCCCTGATGGGGAGGAAGGAGTCCAAGCCCAGTCTTTTTCTCCTCTCTCGGGGAGAGCACGGCTCCCCAGGGACCGGGTGCCTGATTTTCTGCTGCGTGAGGTCCCCAGTCACTGGAGTGGGAGCTCTTGCCATCAGGGCCCACTCCTGCTCCTCAGTCGCCTCCATCAGTCAGTGCAGCTCTGTCCCGGACACTCTGGAGGATAGGGCATGGACAGGGAGGTGCAAGAGGTAGCCCACCTCCCGGCTGAGCCAGAGCCAGGCAAGCAGCCCTGTCCGCCCTCTCCCTGCCAAAAATACTGTCGTTTTCCGGAAAAGAAGCCAAGCCCAGCTCAGCAACTGACAAGGCCGAGGCGATGGGTTGCGGGCACGGGGAGGCATACGGCGAGAAAGGCATCCTTCGATGTCATTGGCCCGCGCGGTTGGAATACTGCGGCTTTTCTGTACGTTCTTTTATGGACCAAAACTTTTTACCCATCATTTTTTTGGGGGGTGGGGGAAGAGAGAATCCACCTATTCTTTCTTTTCCCAGGGATACTTCAGGAGGAAAGAAAAGCTGGAGACATTGGGTTTGAAGGGAAAGATGCATAAAGCAAAAAAAAGGCAACGAGAAGTACCAGAACCGACAGGAAGCGGTGAGTGTGTGCTGAGGTCAAGGGCAGGCAGTGCAGGGGGGAAGGCTCAGGGAGGCCAGGAGGCTGAGCAGGGGCCCGGGTGCCCCCCGGCTGAGCTCGGCCGTGGCTCGGGCTCTCCCCAACCGATGGCACCTGGTGTGTGGGTCATGGGGAGGGGGCGTATGGTTGGCTGGGCGGTCAGTGGTCCTCACAGCTTGGCAGACCCCCACACTGTACCCCTGTCCACGGAGGTAGAGGCAGCTCGGTCGCCCCCGCGCCTCTCCCCCCGCTTGGAAAGCAGTTGCTGCGCCCGGGCTCCGCTAGGCCAGAGAGTAGATGGCGTTGACGGGCGACGTGGCCTCCGAACTCTCGTTGCCTTCGGTCTCCTCCTTGTCCTTTTTGACCGTGTACTGGCCGATGAAGGAGCCATCCTCATTGAACTGGCCCTCACCGCCCTCGCCATAGTCCACCAGGCTGTCGTCACTCTCCTGCTGCTTGATGGTGCCGTCCAGCGACGTCTGGCTCCCCTGCAGGGGCTTGTTGTCCTCGTCACTGGCCGGAGAGAGACAGGGAGTCAGAGCTGGCCCAGCCCAGTGCTGCCCACACCCTGGGGCCTCTTGCCATGCACTGGTATTATGGGCTACACATTGCCGAGAGGACTGGTCCCCAGGGACCACCCAGTCCAGCCCTCCCCGTCCAGACGGGAAACTAGGGCCCGGAGGCCAAGCAGCTTCTCCAAGTGAGGGGGGAAGCTGGTGCAGCGCTGGGACAGGAGCCCACACTGGACTCCTGGTCTGGGGTCCTCTCCATGGGGCTGGGCCTCTCCCTGGGATGGGTGGGAGCAGACAGAGGACTGTCACCCTGGAGGAGGCAGAGCCAACTGCTGGGAGGCCAGGCGGATGGGGAGTCAGGATGGGCGAGCCCTTCTCTCAGCCTCTCCATCAAGAGGGGCTGGACTAGTTTGACTCTTGGTGATTTGTGACTTCAGGTTTTTATTATTGAGATTTTTTATTCATTGATGAGAGAGAGCGGTTTGTTGTTCCACTTATTTATGCATTCCTTGGCTGACTCTTGTATGTGCCCTGACTGGGGATGGAACCCGCAATCTTGGCGAGTTAGGATGATGCTCTAACCAGCTGAGCTACCGCCCAGGGCTGATGTGTGACTTTGTCTGGAAAGGCTCTGCCCTTGACAGAAAGCCAGGGTCTGGACCTTAAACAAACCTCCTCTCTCGCTCTCTGGTTTATCTACAAACAGATGCTGTTGCTTCAGGCTAGCAAGTGGAAGAGGGCGTGACATGCAGATGAACAGGTGAGACCAGAAACACTGTTCAAAGGATCCTGCAGCTCCGGAGGCCCCTCTTGTGCAGGGAGGGCTGGAGGCTGGTGGTGAGAGGCAGCTGCCCACCGTGCTGCAGCCCCCCAGCAGGTGAGGCCCCCGAGTGGGCCAGCATCTGCTCGGGCACCACATCCCTCTCCCGGCTGGGAAACTGCCCTTTAGGTTCAGAGGGGTGCTGGGTGCTGCTGGCGGCGCTTCAGAGGGGAACCAGCTCCCAGGCAGGAGGCAGGAGGATCTGCAATGAGGATCTGGGTCCCGGTAGGCGGGACCATAGCGGTGCCAGGCTGTCTGAGCAGACACACACCGTCCCCTCCCTCCGCAGATCCCCAAGCCACACTCAACACTCCTTCCCAGGCGGGCGGGGAACAGGCGGAGTGGCCATTATCCTGGGGAGTGCGGTCTGGCCTCTAACAGCAGTGCTGCGCCAAGGCAGCTGTCGGGAAGGCACGAGTGACAGCGCAGGTGCTAGGCATTAGCAGATGGAAAGCCATCAGCCCACTCTCCACTCTCCCCACCACACTACCAGTGATCGTGGCCCCATTCATAGCCCCACTCTGCTCTCTGAGGCCGGGCTGCGGGAGGGGGGCCGAGTGTGGGAAGTGGGTCTCTGAGGTTTGCGTGGGAAGCGGGGCTCACCTTTTGAGACCTAGCGGAGTTCTTAAGAATTCAAAGATCTAAATTGGTTTTATTAAGTGACTCACCAATTGGGCTGCATCCCATCTAGCAAGTAGATGCTTACCCCGCCTCCAGGCTCTCTCACAGGCTTTCCCTCCCCAGCTCTCCCCCACCCACCGAAACACGAGGTTGTGTCTGTGACAAGGGGATTGCAGGCACCGAAGGAACATGTGGCCCCTGGACAGGAAAAGAAGGCCCTGTCCGGGTGGGAGGCAGGGAAGAGATCCCAGTCTGGAAGGGACAGACCTCTCGAAGGGAAGATGAGAGAAGCCAGAATGACGGGGGACCCTGCTCCAGCCTCCTGTCAGCCCGCCTTCCAAGAACCCTCGGAGGGGGAGGCAGAGGGAGCCCCAGCGAAAGGTGCTCCCCTTGCCCTGGGCCTGTGCGCCTAGAAACCTGTCTTTTTCTCTGATGCACACATGTCAGCCCTTTCCCAGTTTAGGACTCTTGGACTCAGCCCAGTAGGGGCTCTAGGATTAACAGTGCAGTCCCCACCCCCTCCCCAGCCAAAGCTGGGGTGTGTGCGTGCACATGAGGGTGCGTGGTCCGTGCATGCTTATCCAACCTCAGCGTCAGTGGGGCAGGAGTGGGTGGGGAGGAGGCAGGGGTGTTGCCCACCAGCTTTGGCGTCTGGGAGAGGAGAGGTGCTTGTGCAAACACATTCTCCTAGCACAGGCTGCCCGGTCCGTGTCTGAGGGCCTCGCCCTCCTCGGTGGCTACACTGAGGGTCGGGGGAGAGAGAGCCCCACCAGGGTCCTGAGGACCATCGGGAGGGGCCTCTCCTGCCTGCTCCTTTGGGAGGCTTATGAGGAGTTGGATGGACGTCATTCTTAAGCCGCCAGACAGGCTCCAGTGTGGGCGGGGACTCTGCTGCCCATTGATCTGCTCTGCGTGCCAGAGTGGCAGAGGCCCAGGGAGGGATAAGGGGGTCAGAGGAGGACAAGGATGACCTGGCCCCAGAGAGTGACTGGCTGCGGGAGGGAGGGCTCCCGTCCCACTTGGTCTGGGAATGACCCACCACACAGTGTTCAACTCGAAATACACTTGCTGTCAAAACAGGCTGATTGCCACTCTGCTAAGCCAGACACAAAGGCCTGTCCAGACCCGAGAAGGAGCATGGAGTAAGACAGGGCAGTAGCTGGGTGCTGGGCCCCTGGCCTCCCAGTTCTGCCACGAGCTCACTAAGTGGTGAATGTGAGCGTCTGGGCCCCAGTCTTCTCATTGGGACAGTGCCTGGGCCAGATGCTTCTCTAAGGCCTGTTTCAGCCTCCAGCCCAGAGATATTGTTCAAGTGCATGAGGAAAAGGCCTAGGACACCCCGCCCCACTACCACCGTGCCCTTTACCCCTCACCTAGCCCAGCCTCCAGGACAATCCAGCTTTCCCAGGGCATCATCTTTAGGGTTGGAATGGGGTGTAGGCAGCGAGGGAGCCAAGAGCCCAGCTCACTTCATAGCACAGAGGCCCCCGAGCTTGTTTTGAGAGTACAAAGCTGGGAACACGTGTAAAGAGCCCGATCGATCTCAGCTGCGCAGCTGACTGATAAGGGGCTGTGCACGTGTGTCGGGCGGTGTGGGGGCAGCCTCGTTCGGCACAATCAGGATGAGCAGGTGCTGCCGGGGACAGAGGTGACCGTCCAATGGGCGATGGGGAGGACCTCAGCCCAGTGGCTGTCAGCCCAGCCCCGCTGCTGAGGGGAGGGCCCTGCTCAGGGCAGCGAGGACAGCCACCCGACAGGGGGCACAGCGCACCTCCAGGAGCCAAGGAGGCCACCCACCTGTAGTCGAATGAGCCATCTTCTTCTTTGGGGTCTTCGGGGCCCAGGGGAACATCCTTCTTTTCTCGCACTTGGTCAGAAAGAGAAGCAAAGACACAGGCATGAGGATCGATGTGTCTCTCTCTCTGAAGGGCCCTGAGCACCGAGCCAGGAGACACCCCCTTCGGGTTCATTCTCCCTTTCAGCAGGGCGCAGCGATGCCTCCTTGTTCTTGCTTCCACATTGAATCAGCTGCCAAGGCGATTCTGTTCCCTCCCCCTCCTCCTCTTCCTCCTCCTCTTCCCACCCCAGGGCAGTGGTCGGCAAACTCATCAGTCAGCAGAGTCAAATATCAACAGTACATGATTGACATTTCTTTTGAGAGCCACATTTTTTTAAACTTAAACTTCTTTTAACACCACTTCTTCAAAATAGACTCGCCCAGGCCGTGGTATTTTGTGGAAGTGCCACACTCAAGGGGCCAGAGAGCCGCAGTTTGCCGACCACTGCCCCAAGGGCTTCCTTACATCTCTATCTACAACTAAATGCCCCTCCCCACTGGCCCCTACCCCTCTCCCTGAGGTCTTCCCTAAACACCAAATGGGTGAAACCCTCTCTTTGGCACCTTCCTTACTCTGCTCTGTGTTGTTGTGTTTCTTACTCCGGTGACAAATGCCAGTTCTGTCCCCGAGGGCGGGCCACCGTGTGCTTCTCCAAAGCTCCCCCCCCCCCCCCCCGATCCAGGAGTTTGCATGGCCCCCTCCCTCCACCTCTGCGATTTGAAAACATCCACTAAGGCCCTGTCTTGTGCTGTGCTCCTCCTTCTCTGCCCGCTGACATGTCCCTGAGGGGGAGATGCTTTCCTTCTAGAATCCTTAGCACCCAGCACAGAACCTGGCACCCAGCAGGCCATGAAGGAATGACTATCCTTTTTGGGATGTAAAAAAGGATAATTGCCCCCATTTTAGGGGAGGGAAACAGGCGTTGAGGTGAGGAACATGTCACGTAACCAACTGGCAACAGAGTCTAGAGTGCAGGCGAGGGCCCAGGCATCATGGTCCTGGTGCCCTCAGCTTTCTACGGGGCCCCTTTCTCATGGACAAAGGAAGGCTGGGCGTCCACCCGAGGAGTTAGTTCTTCAGGGATCCAGCTCCCTTTGGAACAGGGACGTGAACTCAGTAAGGCCGCCCACCTCCCTAACTCTGGCTTCCTCTCTTAAGAAGAGAAACAGTCCCAACACAGCACAGCAGCGTGAAAGAAACATCCTTCACCGGAACAAGAATGAGGATTTCCTGCCCTGCCTCACTGCAAGGGGAGGCACAGCTCTTCAGAGTCCCGGGGTCTGTGAGGAAGGGGGCCGGGGAAGGAGGAAGTGTCAGCTCTCTGAGTGCGGGTGGGTCCTGGAGGAGGATGTTCTCCAGGATGGAGACAAGCAGGCACTGGGAGCACGGGGTGTGTGTAGCCACCGGGGCATTGGGGGCAAGGGACAGTTTCACTCTCAGGGTCATCCGTTACCCTGACTCCTGTCGCCCGGCCCAATCCATCGCAGACAGAGGGCTGTCCTGCCCCTTGGAAAACAGTATTTCCAGAAACAAGACCGCCAGAGGTCCTTGTCCTTGGTTTGTCTGGGCTGGAGGATCTTAAGGCCCACAGAAGAGAAATTCCCCCTTTGGGAAGCCCAAAGCCCTTGAAGGGCGAGGAGGCACCCTGTCAATCCAGCCCCTCAGCCTCTGCCTGTTCCCCATGTGGGAGCTGCTGTCCTGTTAGGATGTCTGCCATGGCGTCCTAACCGCGCCAACAGCCCAATGCTGCAGTCTCTCTCCTGGCTATGCTGCTTCTGTCCAGACCCTCCTTACTACCCTCTCTCTCACCATTACAGCATATACCTCTCTTCCTTCTTCTTAGACACGGGGTTCTAATGAGATTCAGCCTGAAAAGAGCCAATTTACTGAGCAGATGGATGGATGGTGAGTCAGGGAAGGAGGGTCATGCTTCACAGAGACCAGCACTCCTCCCGTGCCCTCTCTGGAGCTGCCTGGACCGCTCCACCTGCCCAACTCAAGCAACTTAATTAACTCAAGAGCTTTCTGGCAGGTCTGAGATGTACAGAACAGGCAAGAGGATTGTTTCTTGGCTAGCGTTCGGCTCACTGAGAACAGATCCCCCCCGATTTGGCAAGGGACCTGGTGACTCACAGGAAAGCTCGCTGGCCAGTCCCCAAGCCCCCTCCTTGGACACATCCTACCTGGGTACTTGCCACCGCGGCTCCTCTTGATGAAACAGACAATGAGTAGGATCAGTACCAGGAGGGCTATGGCGCACATGAGCCCGATGAACCAGCCCTGGGTGGAGATGTCGGCCCGGTTGTTGGTGTAAGCTGCAGGAGGGGAGGCCAGAGCAAACAGAGTGAAGGACTTTGCATGGGCGAGGAGGGAGAGGAGAGGAAAGCATTTCAGCTATTTCCCATCGATGGCATTCCTAGAGCCTCATGCCACCATCTAGCAGCCCTCTGGCCCAAACTATGCGATACAGAGACAAAGAAAAAAATAATTAAGGAGCCAAGGTCAAAAGGTTGGAAAAGAGGCAGAGGAAAGGGGTGAGGGGTTGGGAGCAGAATAAGCAGCAGAAGGCGGGCAGGCCCTTTAGGAAGGAGGGCTTCCTAAGGACGAGGCATGGCATCTGTGCAAACCACATGCTGGGCACAGCCTGGCGGGGGTTGAGGAAAGGCCAGGGATAGGCCTGGACCGGCCACAGAGGTTCAATTCCCATGAGTGAGCCTGGGCGAGGAAACGAAGCCTGGGTGCCACCCACTAGAAAACAGGGCGTGGTCACAATGCAAACCCCCCTTATAAGAACACAGGCCCAGAGCAGCGGGTTGGACATGGTGTAGTGCCAGGACACACTTGTTTTCTCACATGTCCCCAACTGGATCGCGTGCTCCCTGACAGCAAAGACAGTCCTGCGTCAGTATCCCAGGTGGCTGGCGGCGAGGTTGGGCCACGCGTTCAGCGCACTCCAAACCACTTCCACACGTGAGGACCGCCCCCACCTCCCTAGCTGTGACTTGCCCCCTGCCTTCCCCTGTGACGGGGAGTCCCCCTCTGTCCCTGCCTGGAGTACGGAGAGACCTGTCTCCAGGTGGACAGACTCCTGTGTGATTGGAGGCCCACGTGGGTGATAGGCGTTGAGGCATGTGATGGTGTCCTGAGGGCCCAATGGCTGCAGCCAGGGCTCAGGAGGGGGTGTGGGTTGGGTAGGAGCCACTGGCTATTCTCCTTTCTATGGAATGAAGAGCAAAAGCGACCCCTCCTGAGATGCAGCCTACATGGAAACCAAGATGCAGAGGAGAGGAAGGATCTGAGAGCCCGTGGAGTCAGAGCCCAGGCTCAAGGCCTCCTGGGGAGGAGCTCAGGGAGCAGGGAGAGTGCTCCAAAGTCTATCAAGTGCTGTTCTGTGCAGCAGGCACCTGGACGCCATCACACCCTTTGCTCCTCTAGGGCTGAGAACTGTCTTCTCAGCACCGTGCCAAGGACATTGTGCCAAGAGGGTCTCAATCAATGGTGAAGACCTCTAATCGACTGCTGCCATGCCCTCTCAGCCCTGGCTGCCCGGGGAGAAGCAGGTGGGTTCCGTGGAACATGGCTCATTACCTTGACCTATGCACACTGTGGGGGCAGCTCCCATCCCTGCTTCTACTCCTGTTCCTACAGGCCAACCTTACAGTGTCAGAGAGACCTTCCCCATGCCCCATAGGACCAAATCACCTCCTTCTTAGCCTCCAACACGTCTCATTCCTGAGGAAAGTCCCGTTCCTTATCCGGACCCATCAGGTCCCATCCAGCTGGCCCTGGCCGCCTCTCTAGTCCTAGTTCCTACCATGCTCTCCTCACTCTACACTCACACCAAGGACTCTCATTCCTGCCCAGGGCCTTTGCTCTGTCTTCAGATCTGTCTGTGCCAATGCCATCTTCTCAGAAAGGCCTTCCTGCACCTTCCAGCTAAAGCAAGTCCCTCCGCCTGACTCTGGCACGCATGCAGAGCACTTTAACTTATCCTCTTCGTAGCACTATCACCGTTTGATAGTCACACACAGGTCCCTCTTATCAGCAGGAGATACGTTCCAAGACCCCCAGTGGATACCCGAAATGGTGGATAGAACCAAACCCTACGGTTTTTCCTATGTATACATAACCTACGATGAAGCTTAATTTATAAATTAGACACAATAAGACATTGACATAAATAGGACAATTATAACATACTATAATAAAAGTTATGTGAATGTGGTCTCTCTCAAAGTATCTTATTGTACTGCACTCACCTTTTTTGTGATGATGTGAGATGATAAATGCTTCCTCGTGACTTAATGTCAGGAGGAGGATCATCTACTTTGGGCGATCCTGGAGCATCAAGCCATGATGGTGTGGATGGTGGGATGTCAGGAGTGGGCATTGCTGATGGTTGGGGAAATTTAGTATTTCCAGATTGCAGTGGAATTCACATAAGGGCAGACTACTATATTACTACCACTCACAGTTTCCACTCGTAAGCACTTTTGTGGCTAAGCTCTAAGTACTTTCCCAGCTCTAAGTACTCTCTGATATTACCCTCACAACCCCATAAAGTGGGTTTGCATTATTATCCCCATTTTATAGGTGAGGACTGAGGCCCTGAGGTTAGTGATTTACTCAAGGTCACTGAGCTAGTAAGATGTAGAGTTAAGAAGGGACCCCAGTCTGTGCTCTTTCCCACTCTAGTCCTTCTCCCCAGAAGGTAAGCTCCTTGCAGGAGGGACTGTCTGGTTCAGTGCTGGCTCCCCAGTGCTAGGACAGAGCCTTACACACCAACCTCCACTTCCTTCCCTCCAATCAGCCCACTCACCCTCTCTGGGCCTGATGGGGCCTCTGCTGACCTTAAACTCTTCTGTCCTTCCTTTTGCCACCCATTCCTGCACCAACTCAATTCCAGATGTGGGTCTCCTTGGCCATTTCTGCATTTTTTCTGCTCCTGCCTGCTGGAGGAAGAGGCAGACCCAGGACCATCTCAGATTCACTGTGTCATGTTTCAACGGGGCCTTCACTGCTCCTGGCAATCTCTTTACTCTCTCCCACTGCTCCTCCCAAACTGCTCCCCTGACATGGCCCGACAACCTGGTCAGTGTTGACGCCACTTACTCTACCCTGGAGGCTGGTGAAATCTCCCTGCCGTCCCTATTCCTGTGTCAGACAGGCTTTCTCTCTTTCCTCGGAAGCTACTTCCCCCTCAGCTGTGGGACCCATGCCTCACTTCCTTGGCAGCTCAATCCTGAAAGGATTGCTGAAAACCCTGACATTTTCAATTTCCTCTTCTTTGCAAGCTCTCTCTCCCCTCCCTTCTGCTGTTACCAGAAAGTAAGCTGAAGCTTCCTGTATCTTAAAATAAAAAACCCTGAGGAACCTGCCAAGCCTTTCAGCCCATGCATTGCCCTTTTATAGGTAAACTCAATCTTTCCTTGTCTCCAGTTCCTGCCAACTCCTTTTCCCCAAAACAAGCCAACTTCAAGTCCCTCTGTGCTGGGCGCTTCATCTGCCCCAGTGGAGTGGCTCTTTACCAAACCTACCTCTGCATCCTTGACTGGTACCTTCACTGGCAATCCTTCTATTCATCTCTCATGGCCCTCCAGCCAGTTCCACCCCATAAGCCCAGCACTTCCACATAACAGCTCCTTGAACGGCCCATCTGCTTGAAATTCATCATGTCTCCTGCCCCTCCCTGCCCCTTGCTTCTGCCAGTGGCTTCACCATTCTCCCTATCTCTAGGGGCTATCATGTCTCCTTCCAAAGTGTCTCTCGTGTTCCCCTCACTGCTCCATTCCAGACGGTCTCATCCTCTGCCTGTGAGATCCCGAGGACCCGATGACTATTATGCTGTATGTTCCTAGGACACTCCTGCCTGGCCTTCCATGTGCTCTGGCCTTCCTTCCCTGCATCTTTCCCAGCCTGCCCAAGAGCATCTGCACTGCCATCCCTCTTGCTCTCCTTCATTCTACCCTCCTTCTGGAATCTTCCCTTCTTCCAGCCAACACCAGTCTCTGAACTCCATTTACTTCGGGCAACGTAACATTTAATTGCCCTCTTTCCTGGGTCCTGCTTTCCAAGGATCCCATGAAAAGTTTGGGAGCAGGGGGGTTCTTTGAGCCCCTAGTACCATGGTCGGCAAGCTGCGGCTCGTGAGCCACATGCAGCTCTTTGGCCCCTTGAGTGTGGCTCTTCCACAAAATACCATGGTCTGGGCAGTCTATTTTGAAGAAGTGGCATTAGGAGAAGTTTAAGTTAAAAAAATTTGGCTCTCAAAAGACATTTCAATCGCTGTACTGTTGATATTTGGCTCTGTTGACTAACGAGTTTGCCGACCACTGCTCTAGTACTTAGATGCTGCTGCTCACATAACAAGTAGTCACTGACTACGTATTAATGACCAATTTAATCCTAATATGACATGATGAACAGCTTTTGTTTCTGCCCCGATACTGCCAGGGGTCACAGGAATATTGGCTGGACCGAGAGCCACACCTGGGCGCTGGGATGAAGGAATCACGTCTGCCTGTGTTTGGATGAGGTCCCCACCTGCTGCAGAGAAGCTGGTCTGCATGTCCTCAGTGGCCTGTTTGCTCCGCCATCGTCCCGATGCTGGTTTGGATACAAGCTGAGAGCCGTCTCTACAAGACCCCCTTCCCCTGGGAACAAAGTCACTGTTCCAGGGCAAGTGGCCATGGGGGCGAGGTGGAGAGCAGGTGCAACTTCTCATTCCTGACTTCACCTTGCAAAGCTCAAATGTTAGCTTTTGTCCTTACAAAAAATGGCCTATGAAGTTTGGACACAGAAGGCTGTTCAAAACTAGTGGGTTTTGTAACTATGTGTGATGATGGATGTTAATTAAACATTGCGGTAGTCATGATGCAATATATACACGTAACAGATCATTAGGTTGTACACGGAAAACTAAGTAATCAATGTTATGTGCCGATGGTATCTCCATTAGAAAAAACAAACCCAAGCCAAGTGGGATCTGGGGTGAGATGGGCTGCACCCTGGCCAACACAGGTCCCAGTGCCCCTTACCGTGGACCAGAAACCACAGGCTGTGTCTTCCACACACGCCCTGCAACCCCACTCAGAACAGCATGTCAGCTGCAAGGTAGGCCATTCCCATGACTCCTAATGGACTGGGAGGAGTGTGGTTTGGCCATGGAAGAGAGGGCAGCCACTCAAGGATGGCAGGAGAATTGTGTTTCAGAAATAAGGATAGATGAATAAATATAATAGGGATGGACTGTCTTCAAATGCAATTTGGCTTGGCTGCTTTCATGGAAGCAATAGCTTACATCTCTCCATTCCTA